ATCTGATTAATATAATATATATACTCGTCAGAACTGACGGATCTGTGCCTACTATGATGATATATCAAAAACAAATTCTAAATATAAAAGTGGTCAGACTACTAAAGAATGTGGGCGTGTAGATGGGTCTTATATCAACAGCCACACTCTCATGTAAATCTATCTACTTATAAAGAACGTATTCAAAGAATATATAATGATGGAATATGTTATTGTACATTCTATGAAAATATTGATTTTTATTCATATCACAAAAAATGTTTTCCAATGTAAGAATACTTGGTGATGCTCTACACGAAAATTGTGCTGTATCAGATAATGATCCATGTATTGGTTCATATTTATGGAAAAAAAAGAGAAGTTACATCAATGCAATCTAATGTCGCTATTATATCTTCGAGTCGACCTGTATATTTATTTGTCGAACAAGGTTATTATATGTATGGCTTTCTTGTTGTTAGTTCATACAAAACCTTTAATGACGAAGCAATTTTAAATTTTTTGAGAAGAATATAAGTAGAACTACTTGTAGTTAATAATTTGAAACGTATTCAATTGTTTAAAGATGATTTATTGTAAAATGATCAAATTCAACAAATACTAATTATGAAAGACGAGAAGTATGATAAAACAAATAAAATTGGATATTTATCATCAATTTTGAGTGTGGGTATTGTTTCCATCTCACACTCACACCCATACCCTTAAATTCATTTATTTATCGAATATAGAACGATATTTTTTGTGTATCAATTAATGATTTTACAATATTTGTTGTATTGATTAAATAATAATATTTATCAATTATTAAATTATCAAACATGCCTTCTGATTGAAATTCGAAATGGAATCGTATACATTGCACAACCTGTAATATCTATTCGTGCATCATCAGTTACTTACTCTCTTTCTATCGTATGAGTTTTCTGAATTTTGATTTCTTCAGATTTTTTATTTTCTCAGTCTTTGTTTTTTGTTTTAATCTCTCCTATTTTAATTTTTTGTGCTTGATATAGTATTATAATTTAAAATATTCTATAATGCACAGCCCTAATGAGTGTTTGTACATTAATAAGTAACACGAAACGCGTTGGAATATTGAAATGTGCATCTTTTCAATTATTATATTTTTTTCTACTTCAATAACAACACAATCGATTGCTGAAAAGCAAAAGTTGAGAAAAGCAGATTATTTATTTTTCTTCAAGATAGATAGATCAATTTGTTCTTTAAAGTAATAAAAATATGTCAAGGTTTCACCTTAAGTCGTTCAATTAAAATGATAAATATCGAATCCTGATAGTCTATTGAAAATATTCGAAAATTTTTTTATTTTATTACCATACATCAAAAAAAATGCAAAAAGAAGAACAATACTTTTTCATTTGAACGTGTATGAAAACTGAATTTGTAATATAGAAACAAGACAAGTTAAAAATTGTATAATAAGAATTAGACGTAAAATCTGCTGCATACTTTTCAAATATGATAAATAATTTGTAGATTAAGCAAGAAGAAAGAAGTGCCAGGAAGTGACATCTTTCAAGTATAAAAAAAAACTTTCATTCTTCTTCAAACATCACTGAACACATTTTACATTACATTCATGACAAAATATTTTGAATAATAACTTAAAATTAATCAACATTAATTATTCTCCTTTTTATTGCATATCGAAGAATCTGGTAGAGAGATACATTGAAAAAATCAACTAAAATTAATGCATATTTTTTTGGTTCTTCTAGTTTGTTCGAAAATTAAGAAATTGTCAATCCTGTGTTACCCTGGATGTTAGATTTCTAACATTTCCTTTTTACTATATAACCTTTTGGATTTCTCAGAAAATTGCAATTATTCCTTTATATATATAATTTCAGTTATATCAATCAGATGTATAAATGATGAATACATTTAAAAAAAAGAAAAAGTCTCTATTATTATCGCATTCTTTTAGAAGTTTTGGTAGATATACATCGAATGCTTTTAATTTTGAACAATATTTCTTTAACATGTGGTCAAATCAGAATAACGTATTATCTATTTTGTCAGACAATTATTAACGTGTCAATATCTTTATCACTTGTATCTATACAAACAGCTATTTTAATCATTCGAACGTTAAAACAAATCGTTGATTCTTTTTTTTTATTCAATCAACAATTTCATAATTCACATTGTCTATAATGATGATGATGATGATGCAGTCCACTTGATAATCCACTCTGTTTTCTTTTCCTATTGAAAATTATATACTCAACAACGTGCTGTAAATCAGTACTCATATTTCTGGTATATTAACCGATTATATGTTCATTGAACCATTATTTAAGATCATATACAATACAATAAAAGTCAAAGGAAAAACAAGTTTTTGATTTGAATAGAAATAAAGTTTAAAAATTTAACTAAAAGAGACACACGCGCATGACAAGCTATGCAGCTGCCTTCGATTGTTTGATTTTCATGCCGACAACAGAGTGTTGATATGGTCACGCAGAGAGACTATAAAGACAAGAAGAAAAAAAAAGAAATGACGATCATTCCTTTTATTCTCTTTGTGTTTTATTATAAGAAAAAGCATTTGTATAGCGCGATACATTTGTATAGTTTTTCTTTTCTTTTTTTTTTCTAATACAAAATTTGATTAGCCGTTGTCGACTATTGACAAGATGTTTCAATGCACTTATCGTCGAGATCAAACGATCTAATTGGAATTTACAAATTTAATTTCCAAAAAAATATTTATTTTTTGCTTGCCCTAATCATAAAGCAACAAAAACTATTTGTGTTTTTTTTTTAATTTAGTCGAAGGTGTGAGAAAAGATCATAATCAGATTGATGATCCAGTTGTTATTCAACACAATTATGTGTTAATCCTGATTGGAAAAAATAGTGTTGATAGTCATCTTGATTAGGATGCTAACCATTGAAAATCGATGAAATACATATACACTCATACTAGTCTCATTTTAGACACACCAGGGTGTCTACATGTATTTTGTTGTTGTGCATACCGTTGCAAGTAACAGTCATATTGAGTGATTAGTGTTCAAGTGCGCATGAAGGAGGGACACGAATGAGTATATACATCTATACTTCTCAAGCTTGCATCATATATACGAAAAAGAGAATTATTTTAAAACATTTTCTTTTCAGGTGAATGAACTGCTCAAATCATATATGTTTGATTTTGATTGGATAAGAAAAAAGAAATCGATTAAAAAATGTATGCAAAATGTTGATAGAAGAAAAAAACATATTAAGAAAAGAATTCACCAATCAGTCAGAATTCTACGACCAATGAAAAATCAGTAGACATTTTCTTTTTTTTTTCTTCTTTTTCTCTTATAACTATTAAAAAGACACAAATGGAAGTGCGCGCATGCGATTTGTGCATTATTCATTCGAACCAGTCAAGAGACCATTCATCGTAGTGCGTTACTACTTTTGCCTCTTTTTTTTCTTCTCCTTTTACATCGTCATTTTTACTTAACCCTGCTGTTGCTCCTTTCTTTTTTCTTTCTCACTCGTGTTCGTTTTACTGACACGAGAGTCTGCAGGTGGTTCTTCCTTTTTCTATTCCAAGTGTGTGCATATTACATTCGGGCATCAGCAAGTTAAACAAAGATAAGATCATCATACAGGTAATTGGAAATTATGGTCAGTTCAGTCGTAATGAAGATGTTCTTGTTGTCCAACTGACACCAAGTCTGAGATCTATCAAGAGTTATTCTGAGAAAAAAGTGCGACAGTTCATTATATAAATCCATAACATATAAGCTTTTATTACTTTTTTTTTAGATATGATAATGTCAAAATCTAAGAATAATGAATTAAAATTTTCTATACAAAATCTCATCGAAACAAAAACAACATCATGTGAAAAAAAAGAAAAAGATCTTTTAAATTCAACAACAGATTGTTCTTTAAAACGTGCTGTTATTCAATCTGAATCATCAATTCCACGTCCAATTCCAATACTTAAACCAAAAATTTCTCATCCATGTTGGTCATTTCTATCTCAATTTCAACCAAAAAATCCAAATGGAAATCTTCCATTTAATTCTTCATTAATATTTCTAAGTAAAATGAATCAAGTTTGGGAACAAATTCAACGTACACAAATCTCACCGTCAATAACAACAACGACAACAACAACAGAAAATGATGATGTATCCGATGAAGATATTTATATGGATGTCTCATCATCATCAGTACGACATCATACTGAACTTGATGATGATGATGAAGACGATGATGAAGATGAAGAAGAAGAAGAAGAAGGTGAATGTTCAACTAGTACTGGTGATAAAAATAATACAACATCGAACAGTGACGAAAATGATAAACTTAAAACATATCCATGTACACAATGTGGCAAAGTATAATGAAAATTTTGTCAATTCTAATTCAAAAGATTTTTTTTTAGATATTTACTGCTCAATATAATTTAGTGAGACATATGCCAGTGCACACAGGTATTCGTCCATTTATTTGCAAGGTATGTGGTAAAGGTTTTCGACAAGCATCAACACTTTGTCGTCATAAAATAATTCATACATCTGAAAAACCACATGCTTGCCGTATTTGTGGTAAAGCATTCAATCGTTCATCAACATTAAATACACATATGCGTATTCATCAAAATTTTAAACCATGGGTAAAAAATGTCATATTTTTCTTTTATTTATTTATTCATTTTTTTTTCATTTAAGATTTGTGAGTTTTGTGGTAAAGGATTTCATCAAAAAGGTAATTGGAAAAATCATAAATTAACTCATTCATCTATAAAACAGTATCAATGTTCAATCTGTTCAAAAGTAAATAATTCTTATAATTTTATTTATATATATGTATTCAATTTAGGCTTTTCATCAAATATATAATTTAAAATTTCATATGTATACACATTCAGAAATTAAACCTTATTCATGTATGATATGTTCGAAAGGTTTTTGTCGAAATTTTGATTTAAAAAAACATGTCAGAAATGTTCATGTGAGTAGTACAAGTACAAATATTAAAAAGCAAATGAATACAAATCATTGTGATGACGATGAAGACGACGAAGAAGATGATGAGGATGATGAAGATTGTCACTAACAATATTTTCAGTTGTATAAAAACAAGAAATCCTTTTTTTTCCTTTGTTCATTTAATCTTGTTTCGTTTTTTTTGTATGTGTGTGTGTGTGTGTGTACTGATCAGGAGAAAAATAAATATATTTGCGTGTGTATATGTATTAATTGAAGTCACTTAACCAATTAATCGAGTCCGAACACGCGACAGACGAAACAAATGGTCTAATGTTGCTTACATTCCATGCCTGCCGAGAGGAAACTGAAGCGATAATTAGGGAGGGTGGAGATTTCTTTTTCTAACATACGTTTTTGTGTATTGTATTCTTAACAACTCATCCTTCCCCTCCAATTATTCAATGCATGTTTCTTTTTCTTGTTATATATGTTTTTTTCTCAAATCACAAAATTTTTGTTAAGAGAAAAAGAAGATGCCCACAGGCATAAAGTACATCCGTTTACTTTCTTTTTCTTTCTCGTCTTTTAGGATGGAATAGGAAAAGGATGAGACTTTTTTAAATGGAAAATGAACATATTAAAAGATGACACGTTGTTCGCGTGATAGAAAATTCTCTTCTAAAAAAATACTTACTGGTCATTTTAAAATTAATGTTTTGATTCCTGTTAGAACAAAAAACGGAATACATAGACAGATAAGTCATATCAATTCTTTATTTCTAAGCTAATCAGTTACAAATAACAAGAAAAAGAAAAAAAAAAACTGTTAACCACTTGTCACTTGCTCCGGATCCCTATAGTGTATTTCAATATGATCATCATTTGTTTCTTTCTGATCTTATTCTTTACAATCGCATACGAGTGGTACTCATAATCGATGAGAATACAACAAAAAAAAAAGAAATCAGTTCCATATTGTACACTCATTCGACATTCTTTTGATTTGAACACAATTTTTAATAGGATCTTTTGCTTTGCCTCATTCCCACTTGACAACACTCAAACAAACGAGGACATCTTAAAATGCATGTACGCTTGATCATTAGTCAAAACGACGATATAAATTGGCTCCCTTGTGATTTTCATCATAACTAACATTCAATTGGTTGAATAAAGATGATGACGAAGAAATTTTTATTTTTTATTAAAAGCAAAATAAGTCCAAAATGTTTGAAATATTCTTCCCACAATTCTTTCTTCATCTGTTAATTGATGATTTTTTCTAATATTTGAAAATTTTTGAATAACAAATGATATTAAAAAATATTCTATAATTTTTGCTGAAAAAAGCCAAAGAAAAAATTGCCATAGCGCTCTTGTTATTGTTATTGGAATAAAATTATCCGTTGATGCTGCATCTTTAATCGATGAAATTAAAACCACACGAAAAGCAACAAAAAATGTTCGAAAATTTTCTTCATTGGAAAAAAGTAAACGACCAATTAATGTAAATATAAAATAATTCATAAATGCAAAAAATAATATAATTAGAAATCCTTGAGATGATTTATACATTGTTTCAGCAAGTAAATATGTTTTCGGATTAAATTTAAGTAAATAAAGAAATTTAAATATTGCAAATAAACATATTAAACCAATTAAATGATTTAATATTGTTTTATTAATAATTAATACACGAAATGATAAAAATAAATTATGAATATTTAATGATTGAATTAGATTATTTAATTGAAGAACTTTATAATCAAAATAGAATAATAAAAAATAATAACAACAAAGAATTAATAATATACCGTCGATAATATTCGGTAATGTACGAAGAAAAGAAACAAAACCATATAAACCAAAATTTCGAGTAAATTTTGCTATACCGAATAATTTTGTTGTAAACTAAAATTTTATTTTATTATAAATCAATAATGACTTTACATTTATGATTAAAGTTTATATATTTTAAGTTGTGTTGTTAATCCTAGTAGATCATTTTTGACTTATACTTAAAAACGGAGTTATTGTATTGCTTCCTGACAGTATTTTATCTAGGCTTCTTTTTTCGGACGGACGAATCGAAATTTAGGGTGGGCGACGCTCACCCGCTCGATAAAACGCTGTTTCCTTGTTTTTAAATGTACCTGCACATCATATGATACTTCTGAATCTAGGAAGATATTCATTTCCCTTTTTTTTAATTATTAGAAGCCATTGATGCGATCATATTCACCAACATATCTCAATTGGACCTACTCAATTAAACGTATGTTTTGTATTACTTGTTCGAGATAAAGAAAAACAGTCGCTCTCATAACTTTTTTCATCAAATCGGATATGTCAATACTATACATAAATCTAAATATTACTAGTAAAGTGCGTAAAAGATATTTGGACGTATTAGAGTTAATTGTTTTTATTACCATCTAAATCGTAAGTATAACTAATCAATCAGAGTGGAACCGGACGAATTTTTTTTCATTCGGTCCGGCCGGACTACTTTCGACGTCAATGCGGCAAAAATTCGGCCGGACTATTTCTGACGTCAATCCGGCAAAATTATGAATTTATACGAATATTTTTGTCACAAGCTCTTTTTCAACTAAAATATATACGTATAACAATTCCTAACATGATATTTCGAAAAAAAATAAATAAACATTAGTTTTGTAAGAAAAATATTTATAATACAAATATTATTTTCTAATTTTATGAACCGGTAAAAATTCGGTTTTGTCCGGACCGGTTCCAACTCTGTAATCAACTAAATAAATTCTACTAGCTAGTATTATATGTCTTGTTTCTATTTAGTTAATTGTGACTTACAATGAAAAATAATAAAACAGTAAATAAATAATGTGTAATAACAAATGGAGTTTCATTATTATTATTATTATTATTTATGTTTGGTATTTCTTGAGTAGTATTTTGTACTTCTATTTCATTATCAATTGTTGTTAATGTATAATCTGATACTTCAATAAAAATATCTTTTTCAATAATTCCGTACTGATTTTTTTCCATAGTTAATATAAATGATATCATTGATGTTGTTTGTGGAGAATATAAATTTCCTTCAATTATGAGAACTAAAGTTTTTTCATCTAACCAATTATCTAAATATTTTAATATATAAACAATAAATTCCAATAAATTTCTTTTGTCATACATTTATTTAAATCATAATATTTTCGTTTACGATTACAACGTTCAACCTTAAACAAAATACATAAAAATGTTTTATATTCCGTTAAACTATACCGTTTCTTTTGCTGATAAATGTAACATAAAATACCATGGAGATTCGTATGTTGTATAAAATTTGATTATTCGTTTAGATGCTAATGCAGACCATATTGACGTATAATTACAAATATCTTGACAAAATTCATTATTCCAACCAGAACATTTTCGTTGACCATTAAGAACAGATAATTTATTATCCATTAAATCATTTCCATCAACAGAACATGTCGGTGGTAGTAAAGGATAGAATAAATCATTGATTTTCTTATGACAATCTTTACGTTCAACACGTATCTGACGTATACGAATACTTTTACTTAGATACAATGGTGAATCAGCTAAAGATTTCAAGTTAAATTTTCATGAAAAGAAAAATCAATATAAGACATACGTATTGGAAAATAATTACATGTATCTTTTTGACAAGAATAATCTTTATGTTGAAGAAAAAGACGATTTTCAATAAAATAATTTATCCAATCCTAAGAATACATAATTTAAATGAAATTATTCAAGAAACAACAACTACTAACCATTGTATCGGGTATATGATCAATATTTTGAAAAATATCTTCACGAACAAGTAATTGTAATGTATATTGTCTCATAGTTAAATGTGTTTCAAGATCTCGAGATCTAAAATCATTCAAATACGGAACTAGGTTTATCATTTAACTTGTAAATGAATACTCACGTTTCTGCAAATACCATGATAATGATAATCATAAATAAAATATAACCAATAACATCTCTAACAGCACGAATAATTGATGATTCAAGAAAACGTTCTCGAATGCGTTCACGTAATTGTACATCAGTTAATGTCAGATCTCGATGAAGTGTAAATGTATGATTTAATTGATTTTGTTGAATATCATTTGTAGATGAAACTGGAATCTAAATGAAAACAAAAAGATTATTTAGTATTCTTTTTTCGAATTTTAATTTACTTGAACAGTTGTTGAAATAAATTTTTCTTCATCTGTCATATGTAAAAATGTTGCATTTAGTAAAGATATTAATAAGATAAAAATTAATTCAAATATTAATGTAAATAATATAGTTATAATATGAATAAATAGAATAGTTGATGTTAAAAAATAATTTTCAATTTCGATAAATGTTTTCATTGTTAAATATATACAAACAATGGATATTGCACCAGGAATTATGAATAATCCATAATAAATAGATGAATAGAATCGAAACATATTCAATGATGGTTGAGTAGGTGCATCTGGCCTAGATAAGAAAATCATTTCCAGATAGAAAATGTTAATAAAAAAAAAACTAACCAATTAATTTTTAGATTAATAGTAGGTATTATTATGTCTTTTTCTTGTATACTTGTTTGAGAACTATGATCAGTTGATAATGACTGATCATCATTATCATCATCATTGAATATTTCATTTGATTCAGGATGTTTTGAATATATTGGTGTTTGAAGAATAGGTTTTTTGAACTAAAAATATTCATTCATATTTGTGTTTTTGTAATTTAAATCAAAAAATTACAGCTCGATTTTTCCATACTTGAGAATTTTGTGATAGATTTAAAAGTGATTTATATTGTTCAATTTTAGTATCTGATTGCGAAATATTTTGTTCATTTTCTCCTATTGTACTAATACTCAAACGATGTTGTAAATCAAATTTATGAATAAATTCAAATTGTTCAAGATCTTGCCGATAGAGATTTAAATCAGCAATAGTTGATGCTAATGTATATAATGTTGAATGTAAATTATCAAAATGTTGATAATGCAATCTAGAATTCAATAATTGTCGATAAAGTTCAAGTCGATTTGTTAACCATGTTAAACACCAAATAAAAATTGGTGTTAAAAAAGCAGTAATACAACTAAGAAACAGCGCAATGAAAATTGATGGAAGGAAATTGAGACGAATTATCTAGAAAAAAAACAATTTCAAAAAACTTTATGTTTGAACTAAAATTAGATTGGAGTCGCGAACGAGGTGAGTACACAGTAGTGGGGTCACCAGGAAAATCTGAGTAATCAGGCGCCACCCTAAGAACTACAAAAGTTATTTATAGCGGTTCTTCGTCTTTTTTAACAACTCACACACGCAGAAAGATTGATACAGTTTATCCTGAGCTCGAATTTTTATCTTAATAAGAAATATTTAAATATAACTAATTAACCTGATAGATTTCTGTCCAACCGGATGCAACAAATGATTGATCAACTAGGAAAAGAAATGATGGAAAAATATAAATACATCGTTGATTTGAGATTAATTTTCGACATGAAATAATAATTAATTGAATCAAATAAAGTTGAATAATAACTAACGAAAAATAAATATGTAATCGATAGATTCTTGATAATGTATTTATTTTTTGTTTTTTAAAAACGGAATTTAATAAATAATAATGATAATAAAGCCAAGAATATGTCGAAAGAAATAAATGACCAAATGCATATTGATCAACTTCTTGTGCAACATAAAATATCTCATTAATTCTATTTAAACCTTTTCGTAACGATAACCATGTATAACAAGAAAAATAATATGTATGATAATGATTATAATCATATAAGATACAATGACGAATATAAAAATCTGATTGAAAATTGATTTCATTATGCCATATATTTATAGCAACAATTCGTCCTATATCAATAAAAGAACTAAGTAGAAATTGATCAACACTACCACGTTGAAAAACATTTGATATATTTAAATTTAAACAATGCGATATATCATGACATGTTTCACCAATTAAACGAATATAGATTTGAAAATCTTTTGTTGTTGATTGTTGAAGACCAGTAAAAATTGTTAATTGATAAAGATGACTATTTACAGCACCAATATGATTATCATTAACAAAATATACTAGAGGTTTCTAGAATTTTAAGAATAAAAATATGTAAATTATTTGTTTTTTTAAATACATACATAATCGTCCGATGTATCTTTATAAATTGCATAGAGACCAAAAAAAAGAAAAATTAGAAGTAATACAGAAATATAGATATAGAAATGAAGCCAAGTTTGTGCATTTAATTCATATTCAACAAGAATAGGTTTTGGTTGACATAGAACAAAATATCTATTAATCGCAGATTGACAGCGACAAGTAAGATGAGCACCTAATAGTAAATTATCTCCTAAGTGGAGTTCATCGTCATTGATCAATTGGCATTTATCGATTTTTAACTAAAGATAAACAATCAAATGCTAATTAGATTACTTCTTATAAAATAATTTTACAATGAGAACCCCAAAGTAAACAGATCTTATACCTTTGAATAGTAATTTTCATAAATATCCATATCAAAGGAATAACAACCAGTTTCAATGATCAGAAATTGTCCAGTTCTTTTCAAATTTCGAATAGATACATGTTTCGATGTTATTTCAACCTGTCCACATACAAATGACATTGGTATAATTGGTATTGAATAAACATAATAATTATCTTGCCATAAATCAAAAGAAAGCGTATATTTCAAATTTTTTTCGTAGATTCTTTTCGATTTCAAACAGGAATTATTATAAGCAATATCAATAGTAAATAAATATTTTTGAGAATTTGGTAAATCAATAAAAAATAATGAAATATTTCGAGCTAATTTTGTTGTATTCATTTGAAATGAAAATCTATGTGAATAGAAATTTTTTCCAATACGAATTAATAAGATTTTTGAAAAATATTTTTGTAATATATTCGATGTATTTAAATAGACTTGTTGAAGTGAAAAAAATATGTGTGATATAGAATTTATTGTTAGAGAATTATTTGATTCAATTGAAAATAATTGACCAAGAAGATAATCAGTTGAAGTTTCATGATTAAGTGGAATATATTCTTGAGGATAGTATAAGATATTTAATTGATCTATAATTAAGATAGAATATAATTATTAATAAAGAAAAAAGTATAGCGGATGTATTAGGGAGCTGCAAATCACTTTTTTTCGGTCCCGGTCCCGCGGGACTGAAACCGGGACCACTTTACAGAACCTTAGGATGTATACCTGTTGTAAGTGTTCGACTCTTCATATTATAACGTGGTAAAAACTGATCAGATTTAAATGCCCAACGTTTTGTAACAAATGGTGCACTCATATTGACAATAAAATCAAGCAGACCATCATTAGTTCTGTTTATTTGTGTATTGGAAGATATATTGAATTTAAATTGTGTATGAATCATAACAAGAATTCGACTAATCATTTGATTAAATTCAAATAGACTATTTGTATCTGTTATCGTTGATATTGGCATTGATTCAAAATCATTTATATATATACGTAGATTATAACAAAGGTCAAGTACTTTCATTAGAAAAGAATATGATATATCTGGTAAAGATAATGATATGAATTTGATCGTATGTCTATTTAAAAAAAGAGATGAGAATTAAACATTTTTTATTATCATACCGAAGTAGATGATATGTTTGATAAGTAATTATTTTTGGATGTGAAGATAATTGAATTAACAAGGAAAAATAAGGATCAAGATAATCATTACCAGATTCAGGATAGAAGATTTTATATTTGAACAGTTGTGTTGATATCTACATAATAAAAAAACGGGCTTATTCTCTCTTCGCCATTGACGAAATTCGGAAATCCCAAAAAACTATCATCTATTAAGATCAAATATCTCTTTTACAAGATTATTATTGATACTAACAATTGAATAGATTTTTTGTGAAAAATCTTTTGCTTTAATATAGAGTAATTCTTGATCGATATAAGCTAATATTAAACGGTAATAATTAATAATACTAATTAAATATGATGTTTGATTAAGATTAACTAATTCTAGACGTGGATTAGTATGATCATCCAAAAGATCAAAATCATTTTCATATATATTTAAATATTCGTTCATTAATCGAATTGCCTAAGAAAAATTTTTTTAGTAAAAATAAAATTTATTTTGAACATTCTTTTATTTACACTAGAAAAATAATTCCATTCTAATGCAATATTCATTTTTGTAATTAATTTCTTAGTTAAATAATTTATTGTTAATTCATAACTTTCATTTATTGAAAATAATGATGAACTAATTTCTAAAAAAACTTTTTTACCATGTGGAATACCATAAATCTTCATTTGAATATTTGAATTCAAAATTTCATTTGTAACATATAATGGATTAAGTAAAATACGAATTTCCTCATGTTCTTAATAAAGGAATTAAGTTTTATATAGAAATATAAACCGACTTACTATGTTTCGTTACAGCCCAAAGAATAATATCTGCACGTGTAGTAAAATTTGTACATTCAAGAGTGATTTCATCATGATATGGATAAATATTCATTGGATTAACTAAACAAGAAAATGAACTAGATGTATTATTTTGATTTATTATATGAAAATTTGCATTAATAATAAATATTTCATTTTGATCATTAATACAATTGATAGATATTTGTTGAAATATATTAATAATTTGAAATCGAACTAATGCAATATCACGTGATAGAATTGTATGAGAATGAAGAGTCGAAAGATTGAGTTGTTGAAAAATTTCACTAAAATTACATTTAACACAAAATAAAATTAATTCTGTTATTGATTGAGATATAAAATAATCTGTATGATTTGGTGATTGTTGTACACAATGATTTCGACATACGAGATGACATATTTGACTCTGATCAGTAATAATTTGATAATAACGAATGATGGTATTAATGCTGCTAACATCAGTTTTAAGTTCAATCATATGATCATAGAAATTTATTAGTTGATATGATTGAATTTTATCATAACTTTCATTCAGATGACTAATCCTAATTGAAATAAAAAATACTTATTCAATAAAATTCTGTTCATTGAGATTGCTGAATTTCGTCAGTGTAAAAATAGCTTCTGGTAACTATACTGATCTTCTGTTATTACAGTTGGCGAGCACTCACTATACGTACACCAAGTGATATCTAGAATTTCGCTAATTGGCGAAGAGACAGTAAGCCTCTTTTCAATTTTCATATTACGACTGATATTATCATTTGAAATTATGAAAAGATATTAGAATTTTACCATTCATTATGTGGTAAGTTTTTTAAAAGACGAATAAATCCAATGAATATTATATTATCACTTTGAATTGGTATAAATAAACGTAAAGTTTCATTTAATACATGTCTAAGAATAAGACAAAAAAAGAACATTTTATTTATTAGAGAATAATATCTAATTACTGATAAAGAGAAAATGAACATTGTTGAGTATTTAATATAGAATATTTGCATAGAACAATATCTATACGAAATCTTCTTATTACAGATTCATTTTTATAATTATCTTGTGTGCATAAAGTAAATTCTCTTGATGTTAGAGAATTTTTATTAGTACATGTTGCGTTACGATAAATTTCCGTAGTATAAAATAACGAATTATTTTCAATAATTATCTAAATAATGAATTTCAAAAAATATTGAATTTATTCGAGTATTTATTAATACTTGTTCAAAAATATGATCAATAAAATTCGTTGGTTTTATTACTTGTTCATAGGAGATTTGTTGTGTAAATAATGATAAATGGTTCGTAGTTATATTAATTATCTTACTTGAAGGCAATGTTTTGTTTGTCAATCCTGATGTATCTATTTGTGATTGTATCATTTCTAAATGGCATGTATATTTATGTAAATGACATTTATCAGACATTAATTGTAAATGAAAAGCTGATAGATAAGTTTTCGTAGTAAGAAAATCATCGAAATAAATCAATGGTGGTTGTAAACATTGAAATGTTGGAACAAAAAAGTCTACATAAAAAGAATTTTTATTCTATTCTGAAAAACAAAAAATTATAACAGTTTTCATACGTAATGTAAATTGTTGTACTGTAATATTATTATAAATTTGTTGTCCTTCGATGAATTGAATTCCAGCATCATTAATTTTGATATCAAATTCAACCTTTAAGATGATTGCAAAAGAATTATAAGATATTCATTGAAGATCAAGGGAGAGGGGCAAGATTCCGAGAATAAATACTTTCTTAGTACTTATTTTGTCCGGTCAAGAATTACGAACTAGTTTTCATCGGACAACTCGATTGTTTTCGCTTCAGCGTTTGAAAGTTAAAAGAAAAAAACGTATTCTATAGATCATAAGAACAACTCAATATGTTTATATATCGATCTCATAGATAATACAATTAATTTCATTAATTACCCATTTTGAATAAATATTTTCATTTTGCGATAAATCCACTAAAAAGAACAAATTATAATAGAATTATTTTGAAATAGAAAACTTCTTCAATTTATATTTACTATTCATAATAAAATTTTTCCAAATTGAACCTTTTTCATTCTCTGGTTGATCATACCATAACTGAGAATTAATTGGTTCGTAAAGAAAATCATAATTAACTATTTTAGTTCTATGCCATTGATGATCAATTTTTGAATATTTATTAGTATATGGTACACCATCAATAATAAATTCGAGTTTATATTTAATTGGTAATGAACCACCTTTGGAAATACAATCTGATGAATTAGTTTTACAAATAACTATGATAAATAGACTTGCATCCGCATGTATTTGATCATATTCATTTATAAATGGTCGATGAATATTTATACCAAATAAAAAATATAAATTGGATAACGAATTAAAATGATTTTCAATTTCATTATAAGCCAGTGATTTACTCATACATGTTCGATAATTTTCAGTTAATGTGAATACATTGTATATATAGATACTAAAGACAAATATGATGAATAACAACTGTGTTATGATTCGCATTGTTGTCTTTATACTATCGCGCCATAATTGATGAACCGATTTCATTTGAAAGTTTCAATGTAAAAGAAGGTGTTTAACTATATAGATATATATTATTTTAATAAAGTTTCGAAATAAATATCTTTAAAAAAGTATGGAAACTATGTCTCGTATCATTGTATATTTACTATATTGTTATTGAGATGAGTTTATAGCTCGTTTTATTTTAGAAACATTCACCCACATACACATCCACACCCTCAGAATTGTTATCCTGCTCTGTAAAAATATTCAAAATAAGTTTTTCCAAAAATTAAATAAATTCAGTTGAATTTTGAACGTACAGAATAATCGATTATATGAATTTATTGATAAGATAAAAAGCAAACCAACGCTAAATGATATAAGCTGAATTATGAAATGAATTTTGAGAATAAATATTAGTTTAGATTAGTTTTTTCGTTAAATGAATAATTGAACAAATGATAAGTAACACCAATGTAGAATGATAATTCGCACAAGCATATGATGATTTACTTGTTGTTGCTAAAAGAAAAGATCAATTTTCAATTTTTTTTATCAAAATTACTTATTTCAAAAAGTAAATCATTTTTATCTACTTGAAATAGTATACTGATCAGAAAAATGAATATTTAAAATCTTTCTAACTAATTCAACGTTATTTATAGATATTATCTTTTACTTACTGAATACAGTTGTTGCTGATGTAGATGAAATATCTAAATAAACAAATCAATTATTCAACTTAAAATATAAGTTCATTCTATCTCAGGGGTGGGTGTGAATTCGAATATTACATTCTAGATACACCTGCATCCATCAACCCTCAAGATGATTTACAGAATACTTACTGTAACGACCAAGAGTCATGACATTTGGACCAGATGTTTGAATAGAAAACTTTCCTGTCATATTTGGAGAAGATGTTGTCACCACTAATATGTACTTTGTGCCACTGTGAAGATAAACAATGAACTTGAAATCTTGAAAACTACAGCGTCGATAATTCTGTGAGAGTAGATTCTGAAAAGGATTCATTGGATTAAAATCATCCTGATAAATATCACTAAATGTATTTATAGTGCTATTACTAATGAGAGCATAGTATCCAGTTTCCATTACATTCATTCGTATAGTTTCATAGTAGTAATTCGATTTTCGAGCATCTCGAGAATATGTTTGACTGTTCGTTGTCAGTTCTGATGAATACTTGAATTGTACAGCTGACGAATATGGTATTTCGATGACTGATGGGTAACCTACGTGATGAAAACAACAATAACAGTCGAAATTCGTCATAGATCTTGATTGACTGAGAGAAAGGCGAATCGTCTGGATGAAAGGAAAATAGTTGAACATCATAAGTCATCTCTTATATACCCTGAATATCGAAAGACATGTCGAAGCTGAGCCTAGATTTCTGAAGACATGACTCTCTATAATGTTACTCTCAATGAAATAAGCCGTAAATAAAGAGTGAAAACAGCATCTATAAACATTTTTCTGTACTCAGATCCTCGATAATGTATGTCACGATTGAATTTGGAATCACTTCTTTATTTCGAAAATTGATAATGTTCTAACTTTTTAGATAGGAAAAGTTGTATACTTATAGTCTAATTCTCTTACTATTTATAATTTATTCCCAATCTAAAGAACGTAAACATGTCTTATAGATTCATACAAATTAAGGATGTGTTTATATTTTTATCTTTAAATTGTGTGCATATGTTAGCAGAATTTTTTTTAATTATAGAAACATTGAATGATTGGACATATTGTAACCAAAAGCGAAGTTTTTTTTCATTTCACGACCATGAGCAAGGGTTCATGGCGATTTCTATATTATTCACATCAGATTGGGAGTAAACGGAAACAGACCCAAATACAAGAGGAATTCTCTGATGCTATTCATAATATTTTGTTATTTAATCAGTTGAATGCACCTGTTTGGGTAAAGCTTTCATTTTATAGTACAAATGTCGTCTAACAAAACAGCTCTTTATTTGTCGATATGGCAAACTCAACTGCATACTCATACTAACGTTGATAGATATTCATTTAATAGCTATAGTGCAAACACTTACTAATACGCATGGGATCAACCTTGTCCGGACCAGATACCAGTAATAAGAATTCACCTGTCACCTTGGAGTCATAGGATGCTACAATCAGTATATATTTGATACCGGCTTCAAGAGCAATTGTGAATATAAACTGATGTTGTTGGTCGCCGTTGTTATCGGCTAAGAGTTGGTTTTCAAATGGATTGTATGGATTGAAATAGTCTTTGTAAATAGAGCCGTATGTGACCATATTGCTTTGGGTGAAGAATATGTAAAGACCACTTCTACGAACATTCACTTGTATTGCTTCATAGTAAGAACTCAAACTTGAACAACCAGGTGAATACGTTGAACTATTCGTTGTCAGTTTTGATGCATAAACTGTTTGAACAACTGATGAAGTAGCCGCTAACAAAAAAGAAAATCGATTGAATTGTGTATCAAATGGAAATAAGTGTAAACAATATGAAAGGTTACTTTCTCTCTCAGATAGAGTGTCGGTGTGCGTATGCGTGTTGTTTTGGGTGTGCGTCTGGGTTTGAATGTCAGTGCGAGTCACTCAGCTTTAACTACAGCTATACCCGCACCCACACCTTGGGTGTTTCTGGAGATAAAAGATAGGTTTTCAAAGGCTGCAAGGTAACAAAATGTCAGATAGTATGAAATTGCAAAAGAATAGATCTTCTCGAATATGTCGTTGCTTCGAAAAAAAGCTGCAATACTGAGACGTAATCTTATATGATTAGAAGATAATTGCCCAATTTCAAAAGAAGGAATTTCGATTTTATTTTATTTTTGGACAATAATTCTATTGCATTATATACGATCTATTCGAAATTCTAAAATCTTCTATTACTGAACAGTGAAAATCGACTTCAGCGGGTGTTGTATTTCACTGTTAACGATTTACAAATAATATAAAACACTTACTGTAAGGATCAAGAGTGATGTTATTTGGACCAGATGTTTGAATGGAAAACTTTCCTGTCATATTTGGAGAAGATGTTGTCACCACTAATATGTACGTAATGTCACTGTGAAGATAAACAATGAACTTGAAATCTTGAAAACTACATCTCTTATAGTCCTGTGAGAGTAGATTCTCGAAAGGATTCATTGGATTAAAATCATCCTGGTAAATATCACTAAATGTATTTATAGTGCTATTACTAATGAGAGCATAGTATCCAGTTTCCATTACATTCATTCGTATAGTTTCATAGTAATAATTCGATTTTCGAGCATCTCGAGAATATGTTTGACTGTTCGTTGTTAGCTCTGATGAATAGTTCGATTGTACAGCTGATGAATATGGTATTTCGATGACTGATGGAGAGCCTATGCAATAAAATCAAGAAAGCATTGAAGGTTTATAGTACATGTCGGTTGGCTCAAAGAAAGAGAAATCTTGCGCGTGTGAAAGTAAGACTGAGTACTATGATTCATCCCTCCGACATTCTGAATATGTAAGAACAAGATGATTTCGAGTCTATGTATTTAACGAGACGGTTCTTTATAATGTCACTCTCAATGGAATAACTAAGTCGTAAATGGAGAGTCAGAACAAAATTTATAAATATCTTCGTGTCCTCGAATACTCGATAATGTATGTTACGAATGAGTTTGGAGTAACTTCTTCGTTTCATAAATGGATAATGCTCCAACGTTTGAGATAGGAACAACAGTTTGTGTATAGTCTAATTCTGCTACTATTATAATTTGTTCAAAAATTAAACTATGTAAAATATCTTTCAGGTTCATAAAAAGTAACAATATGTTTATATTTTTTATGTATGAAAAGTTGTATTTAAATGTTTACAGCATTTTTTTCATTATAAGAACGTTGAGTGATACGGTAAGGTGTGATAAATAGCCAAGTTTTTTTCATTTCATGGTGAAGAGTGGAGATTCATGGCGATTTCTATATTATACACATCAGATTGGGAATAAACGGAAACAGACACAAATGTAAAAAACATTCTGCCGATGCTATTCATAACATTCCATTATTTAATGAATTTAATGTATCTGTTAGGGTAAAGCTCTCTTTCTATATGGCTAATGTCATCTTATAGAACAAGGTTTTACTTGCGGATATGCCAAACTCAACTACATACTCACACTAACGTTGATAGATATTCATTTAAAATTTGTAGTACAAACACTTACTAATATTCTTGAGGTCGACATTGTTCGGACCAGATACAAAGATCGAGAATGCACCTGTTATATTGGAATTGAACGTGGTCACAATCAATATATATGTGATACCGGCTTCGAGAGCAATTCTGAAGCTAGACTGATATGGTGCGCAGTTGACAGCATCGTATAATAGTCGATTTTCATTTGGATTGTATGGATTAAAATAATCTTTATAGATATAACCGTATGTGACCATAGTGCTTTGGGTGAAGAAAGTATAAAAACCACTTCTACGAACATTTACTTGTATCGCTTCATAGTTAGAACTTGAACTTGAACAACCAAGTAAATAGGTTGAACTATTCACTGTCAATTGCGATGCATAAACTGTTTGAACAACTGATGAAATAGCCGCTAACAAAAAAGAAAATCGATGCAATATTGTATCATAGGGAAATAAGTGTATACAATATGAAAGGTTACTTTCTCTCTCAGATACATTTACCAAAAGCCAAATAAAAATGATGTGAACGTTGATATAATTTAATATTTACACCCACACTCATCCTCAACCACTCATACCCATCATATTAGGAATCAGCTGTAACAAACCTGAATTCATGAGAAATTGTTCGGATGCTATTCATAATATTCTGTTATTTAATGAGGTTAATGTAGCTGTTTATGTAAAGCTTTCTTTGTTATAGTATAAATATCATCTTACAAAACAAGTTTTTATTTGTGCATATGCCAAACTCAACTACATACTCATGCTAACGTTGACAGATACTCATTGAAAAGTTGTAGTACAAACACTTACTAATTTTCTTGAGATCAACATTGTCCGAACCAGATACAAAGATTGAGAATTCACCTGTCGCCTTGGAGTCATACGTTGTCACAATCAATATATATCTGACACCGGCTTCAAGAGCAATTCTAAAGCTAGACTGATATGGTGCGCAGTTGACAGCATCGTATAATAGTCGATTTTCATTTGGATTGTATGGATTAAAATAATCTTTGTAAATAACACCATATGTATCCATATTGCTTTTGCTGAAGAAAGTATAAAAACCACTTCTACGAACAGTCACATGAATAGATTCGTAGTAAGAACTCGAACTTGAACAAACAAGTGAATACGTTGAGCTATTCGTTGTTAGTTTTGATGTATAAGTTGTTTGAACAACTGATGGAGTATTCACTAACGAAAAAGAAAATCGATTCAATTTTGTATAATATGGAAATAAGTGTAAACAATATGAAATTTTTATTTTGTGTCTCGGATGAATACATCGAAGGCAAATGAAAGTAATATGAATGTTGATATAAGTGAGAATCACTACACTCTCACTTTCAAGGTGGTAGAAAACACTATGTGATATCGCGTGTGGGTGTAGGATAAATCTAATATTTACACGTACACTCATCCTCAACCACTCATATCCATCACATTAGGAATCAACTATAACAAACCCGAATTCGCAGGAAATTATTCGGATACTATTCATAACATTCCGCAATTTCATGACAGTAATGTAGCTGTTTATGCAAAGCTTTCTTTGTTATAGTATACATGTCATCTTGCAAAACAACTCTTTGTTTGTGAATATACCAAACTTAACTAAGTACTCATACTAACACCGATACATATTCATTTAAAAGTGGTAATGCAAATACTTACTAATATTCTTGAGATCAACATTATTTGGTCCAGATACAAAGATCGCGAATGCACCTGTTATATTAGAATTAAACGTTGTCGCAACCAATATATACGTAACATTAGTCTCAAGAGCAATTGTGAATCTAAACTGATCTTGACCGCAGCCGTGATCATTCTCTAAGAGTCGATTTTTCATTGGATCGGATGGATCGAAATAATCTTTGTAAATAACACCATATGTATCCATATTGCTTTGACTGAAGAATGTGTAAAAACCACTTCTACGAACATTCACTTGTATTGCTTCATAGTAAGAACTTGAACTTGAACAACTAAGTAAATACGTTGAACTGTTCGCTGTCAGTTCTGATATATAAGTATTTTGAACAACTGATGGAGCATTCGCTAACGAAAAAGAAAATCGATTGAATTTTTTATAATAGGGAAATAAATGTAAACAATATGATAAGTTACCTTCTCTCTCAGACACATTTACTGAAAGTGACTAAAAGTGATATGAATCTTAGTCTCTATGAGATTGAATTTATCTATGTTTTCTACTGATGACGAATAAGTGCAGCTGATTATGCATTAAAATACTATAGATACTTACAAATACGATTGAAACTGATATAGCTTGAGCCAGATGCTTCAATTGAAAAGTTTCCTCTTAGACTTGGAGAAGATGTTGTCATAACAAAAATGTATTTCATGTTGGCTTGAAGAAAAGCTTTGGGTTGAAACTGACCTCGATTTTCATAGTCTCCATCATGGATAAGGACATTTTCAAGCCAATTAAATACATTGAAATTATTTGTATAAATGTAACCATACGTGGCATTCATCTCGCTGTTGATTAAAAAAGTATAATAGCCAGTTACAGTGACATTCATTTGTATCGCTTCATAATACGGACCTAATCCTGAACAATCTTGAAAATAAATTGAACTATTCGAAGTCAGTGATGATGAATACATTGATTTGATTAGTAATGAGTTATCTATTGAATGAAAAAAATCAATAAGTATTTGTATTTACAATAAAGAAAAGTATTTTTAGTTTGATTTTCACTCTGTTTATTAATGAAAGTTGAACCGTTTGTTTTAGAGAAATGCTTTTAACAGTGAAACGAAGAAAACTATGAAATAAAATATCTATTTAGCATCCTTACAACAAATATCAATATTAGCTCTTAAAATTTGCATGTTCGTTCTAAGGGATACTGTAATAATTACAATAAAGAAATGTTATAAAACCTCATATACAAAAACGAGTACCATTCTGGACTAAGGAAGTCTGATAAATCATAGACTTACAAATTCATGACTTCTGCATTATCATCTTTATCTTCAAACTTTTCTTCTTTTATAAATATAATGCAGAATATTAGTTTTTTTTGTCGATATCACTAAGTATAACAGTAAACTATCTAGTGAAACTATTTCACAAAGTTCTAGTCAGTCTACGAGTATAGCATGACATAATCAAGAAAATTTCGGCTACAAGTGATATTCGATCCATTCTTCAAATATTACAAGAGGGGCTCTTTAATTATTTTTTATTAGATACTGACCTACGTTCGAATCTCACTCCTTTGTGATAATCTTGATTCTATTCGCGTTCGTCAACTAAAATCATGAACGCAAATATAACATAATCGTTTTCGCATTTCGAGAGTAAAGGTGACATTCTGAATCTCTATGATTTCGCCAAGAGTTATAATTAACACTCGAGCATAGGGTCATTTCTCTCTGACAGACATTTTATGTCTACGAACTTAAAAGCACATTGAACAACTATGCAACACGACTTTTTGTTGATTTCAAAGCAATTTATGAAACTTATTTTGTTCTGAAATATGGAATTCGACGGGAGAAATTTTTCATCACATCGATAATTACTTCGAAGTGTTTTAATTTCGATGAAAACTTTACTTCTCATGAGTGTCTTATGTTTCATAAAATCATTGTGTGCATTATGTTCTACAGTCAACAGTGGTAAGTGAGCACATATAATGATGAATCAAAGCAAATTTATGACGAAAGTTCAACAAAAAGGGCTGAATTCATCTCTGACTTTCCTACTAAATACAAAGGCATTCTAACTTCCATCTACACCATGCAACTAACATGACGATAATGTTCTCGATTGACTTTTGTAGAGAATGATGAATAAACAAGATTTTTATTTTATGACATTATTATATTAGGATGAAACTTGAAATCTGAATCTAACTATTCAAGTTCAATTCGAAATCTATCAGAAGTTCCATTTTCATCTTCATCTTCTATGACAGTTTTTCTTTTTAGTTCTCTGGATAAATATTAATTGAAATAATATTAAAGACTTTATTCGGTCATTCTAAACTTACCACATGATTCTTCCAAATATTGAAATTTTTGAATGCGATGATTATATTGATCAGTAACAAACATGTTTCCAGAATGATCGAAACTAAAACTAGATGGATTATTCAATTGATTTGATTGTGATCCTTCTCCATAACATCCAACTAAACATCGAAAACCATTCAAGCCTGAACCAACAATACGACTATTGCCAGAATCCACAATGAATAAGTACTTCTCAGCATCTAATATGATTCCAGTTGGATAACGAAGTGTAATTGTTGGATTTAGTGACATACTTCCAGCTACTGTGATACCGTTTGATTCTCCCGACTGAAACAATTGAACTCGATTATTGAAACAATCCGCTACATATAAATCCAAATTCACATCAACAAAGATTCCACGTGGACCAGCAAGTTGATTCGAGGCTGATCCTCGAATACCTGTTCCAGCAGCAACACGGTTTGAAGTCATCACAGCATCATTTAATGATCTTTTCACTACTTGATGATGATCAGTCATTGAACATTGGAGAGTATTATTGATATCGACAAACAAACCAACACATGATGTGCTGACATTCATCACTGTGACAAAGATATTTGTTTCTGCACTCCATTTCTGCACTCGACCATTCTTCTCGCCATCGTCAATATAAATATCACCATTCGATGTCACGAAAAGAGATTCGGAATTTGTAAAAATACCGTGAATGATCTTTGTTGGATACACACTCTCTTCATGCCATATTAGAATTGTGTTATTTTCCCGATTAACGACATAGATTGTATTATTTGTGTTTACAAAAATGGCGTTAGGATATACACCAACAATTGATCGATTAGCAAGGGTAATTCCATTGGAATTCCAAGTGGCTGTTGGAGGAAACTTCGGTTGATTAAATGAAAGTCCTTAAAGAAAAAAAAATTTTTTAAATTTATTTTAAAAAAGAAATTAAATTTCAAAAATTATTATATGGTTTTGAAGAAGATTTAATATTCAAAATACTGACGATAGATGAATGTGTTTTGTGGTAACCCTCATCCTCAACATGGGTTATTCGCAATGAGTAGTATTCAACAGTCTACACAGATATGACAATTCATCGATCAACTAAGTTTAATGTTATTTTTTTTTACAAATATTGTATTGTTTTGGCCGCAAAATTTTAAAATAATACATAAATAACAATGATTACCTGATATTTGATTGATAACAATCAAAAAACTCAGCACCAGAACACTAACATTAGTCTTTGTTATCATACTGGAAAAACAATTTTTGTTTTATGGTCACAAATAGTAACGAATAGTCAGAGTTTTATAATTCGCCATTCAGTCAATATTGTTGTTCGATAAAAACAAGTGAAATTAAATCTTCATTTTTAATCTTCTCCTCCTCACAATCAACAAATATTATATAGACGCAAAGCATAAAAACCGATATTTTATCATATCGTTTTACACTAGTTCTTAATGAATAAAGAGAAGTATTATTTCATATATACTTTAATTTCAAAAAAATAGATTATCTGAAGTTTAGAATGCATCATTTTCACTGTCTATAGACGATTCTTCAATAATAAATCTTAATAAATGAAATGTTGTACTCATCCATTGTTCATCTATTTACTACCATATTCACCCATACCCTGAAGAGAAGTCCGCTTTATCCCCCTTGAAATATTTACAGAGAAGGACAGAAGGCAAGAATAAGCAAAAGATTAAATGACTGAAATAAATATAAAAAGAAAAGTGATTCCTACTAATCAATATGTCAATAATAAAAAATATTTTTTTTTTACCGAATATCGTCCCATTTTAAATATATAATGGCAAAATACGGGCTGTTATCATTATTAGTAAATCGAATATACACATTTTTTTCGTTAGACATACGATTAACATCTACCGAGATGTATGATGAATTTACTTATTACTTATCAAATACCTTCTCTTTTACATAGTTTGTCAATAATAGCTCATATTACTTTTTTGTTGATGACTTTTAATATATTCTTTATTTGACATAAACAGACGATCTCATTACAAAAGTGGCTACTAAGAAATTTATGTTTGATATTAATGGATAGTAGTAGATGTTTGCTCTTTGACTTCTCACACCCACACCCTTGTCGGTTATCATGATTGTCTCACATAAAACTTATGTTTATATTATGCTGAATAAGAAATTTTTAATTATGAAAAGAAAAAACGTCATAATAAACAGCAATTTAAAAAACAAAAGATGCGTATATAAATCAAGCAAAAACATGAGAAAAATACCCACAACACACAAACATGTATATTTTTCATAATTCGTCTGAATCCACTGCTTTTATACATTTGTTTTAATATGGAAAGAAAAAGCAATTAGATTTAGTTAATTTTTTCATAGTCATGTTCATTCTATTCCCAAAGTAAACAGAAAAATAAAATATCACAGATTTATGAGATTTTTATTGGTAATAAATCTCGTTGAAGCTCATGATCATCATGCTTTTTACCGAGCCATCGATTACATGGAAAACCAATAGTTTCATTTGTATCCATATTAATAACTTCAACTTTATCGAGAAACCAATCAGGTGATATCATAGCATTATCATGTTCAATATGTAATTTTGTTAATTCACCTAGGATTCAATAAAAAATTTATTTAAAAAAACAAATTTTAAATATATATCATACCTAAATCTAAACATTCAATAATAAATTCATCAACTTGACCACGTTCAAATAAATTTCGACCTTTTTGTTTTAATCCTCGAATACCAGTATCACCAAGAGTACCATAAAGAATAATTGATACATTTGCATCTGTACCAGCATGTGATACATCACCTGTATGAACGATAATTTTATATTTAATCGTATGACGATGACGTTGTTGTGCAATAGTATCTTCTTTTTTCTCAGCACATTCAAACACATCACCCTCATTATTAATATCAATCCATTGTCGTACAGGAAATTCAAATTTAACGCCTGTAGATGGATCTGTAACAGTTACATGTGCAACATGCCACATAGCTTCACGACCTTCATATGTTTTAAGTGGATATTCAGGTCGTTCTTTATGACCTAAAATAATACGACGTAATTCACCAAGTGATCGACATTCAAATGTAAATGTATCCGTTTGTCCACTAAATAATTTTATAATAAAAAATAATTTATATATATATTTTAAATACGATTCTTACCCTCGTAAAATTTTATTATGTGGTGTATTTTTCATATGAAATTTTTCTGATCGTTTTTTATTTCCTTCAAGAATAATCCATGCATGTTGAGTTGTACCTGCATTTTGTTTATCTGATGTTGAAATTTCAATTTCATATGGAACTTTTCCTGATGGTGTTAATGATCCTCGTCGACTTGTACTTGGTGAATCATTACTACATACAAGTTCACGTACAATTTGTCGATCTTCTTTCTTCGATGATAACCATTTATTACATGGAAACATGTATGTTTCTCCTGTTCGTGTATCATCAATTTGTACATATTCTAAATGCCATGCATTTTTTAACATTGATGAATCATCATGCCATATACGTAGTTTAGTTAATTCACCCAAACTTAGAATATTTTCAAACATAAATACATCTTCATGATTACGTTCAAATTTATTTTTATGTGTTGATGAATGTTTTAATTCTAATTCTCCACTATCACCATTTGCACCTAGATATTAAAGAGAAAACGAATATATGTATATTCTATGAAAATATTCAAGTCTTCTACCTGAAATAACAATAAAAACATTGCAATCACAACTTGCACCAGATATATCAGTTGTTTTTACTGTTACACGATAAGTTGTTTCTTTTAATAATGCTTTGCCACCTTTCGTTAATGGTATATCATGATGAAAATCTGTTTCTTTTGATATCCAATCATTTAAACCAAATAAATATTTCTTTTGTCGTTCATTTTGTTTCGTATGTTTAATAAGTTCAATATTTTGTAAAAACCAACTATGTCGACCTTTTTTACCTTTTGGAAGTATTGTAACACGTAATTTAATTGGTTCACCAACATCATCTAATTCACATTGAAATGGATCAATAGAACCACGTTCAAAATTTCGTTCTTCTTTTCGAATAATATGTTCAGATGATGAACCTGTTGTACCAAATAATTTCAAACTAACATCACAATCACAACCGGCATTTTCCACATCACCTGTATAAAATGTGACTTCATATGGAATTACTATATAAATGAATGAAAAAAACAAATTTGTATTTGATCGAAACGAGAAAAATAAGAAAATCTTACAAGGACGAAATGATGATTGATTAGAATCTTGTACTTTAAGTATACGTTTAGTTTTTCCATCACCCTTCTCTTTTGATAACCATTCATGACAAGCAAAATAAAATGCACGTCCTTTTGTTGGCATTTCAATAGTAATATCATCAAGAAACCAACTATCCGCTAATGTTTCACCATTATGTTCAATTTCAACAACTTCTAAATCTCCAATATCAGGTTCTTGTAAAGAAAATGTTTCAACTTTTCCTGGTTCAAAACGTTGTCGTTGCATTAATTCCAATGGTATAACACCTGTTTGTCGACCTTTACGACCAATTAAACGTATAAATACATTTGCTGATGTTCCAGCATCACGTGCTTCGCCAGTTTTGACTTTAACAGTATAAGGTATACCTTCTTGAGTTGAATTTCGAGATTCTTCTGCTATACTTGACATAATATTTTTTCGTTGAGTTTGACGAAATAGGTCATGTTTACTTCCACTATCATTCGATGCTAAACTAAGTTTTGAACCACCGACAGAACGAGGTATAGATCCCATACTACTCATTGAACCTTGATAATCCTTGTGTAGAAATAAAAAATATGTATAATAATGTAAAAGATTAAAAATATAATATTTACTTTTTCATAAAGTGTTCGTTCAAGTTTTGAATCTCCTTTTCCTTTAGCTAACCATTGTTCACAATGAAAGACATATGTTCTTATATCATCTATAACTTCAACTCGCTCAAGAAGCCAATCAGGTGATAAACCTTTATTATTATGTCGAATTTTAAGTTTATAAATATTTCCTAAATCTGCAGATTCAATTTTAAATCTATCCATTTGTTTTCTTTCAAATTTATCTCTATGCGTTTCGGAACGTGACAATTCTCGTTCGCCAGTATCACCTTTATCACCATAAACTGTACAAAAAACATCAGCATTAGTTCCACAACCAAATTTATCACCTGTATAAACATCCAATGTATATTGTTTCACTAAAAATCAAAACAAAAGCTTTTTTAGTTAAGCAAAAAAAAGAAAAATCATTTATTTTTGTTTTTACTTTCAAGTCGATCTGCAATTTCTTTTTCTTTTACTTGTAAGTTTCCACTTTTATCAAGTTTTTCTTCAATAACTTTGTCTGGTACAAGTTCTCGTACAATTTGTCGATCATCTTCATTTTTTGCAAACCAACGATCACATGGAAATATATATGTTTTAGTTTTTTCTCCTTTAAGTAATCGACGAATTTCTACACGATCCAAATGCCATGCTGCACCTATAGTTTAAAATTAGAAAATCAATTTTTCAATTGAATTATGAAATATATTACCAAAACCAGAATTATCATGTCCAATACGAATTTTTTCAATATGATCTCCAACATCTTCAAGTTCTCTTACAAATGTATCGACAGAACCTGTTTCAAATTTTCCTTTTCGATCTGTTTTATTACATAACATAATTTCGCCAGTTGTTTTGTCAAAACCATAAATTTCAATATGAACATTAGCATCTGTTCCTGCACCTGATTTTTTCGATGTATAAACTTTAATTTCATATGGAACATCTAATAAAACAAAAGTTTAGTTATAAATTTTCAAACGAAAACAATTATTTTTATTCTTACATGGTGTATAAACTGAACTTGCTGTAGTTTTTGGATAAAGTTCAACTTCTAATTCACCTTCACCTTTAGATTTACCTATCCATTTTCCACATGGAAAAAGCCATGTGCGACCAAATTTAGGTACATCGATTTCTACTCTTTCTAATAGCCAATCGGATCGAAAACCAGAGTCATCATGACCAATTCTAAATAAAAAAGAATATAATATATATCAAATTGATTTTTAAAAGTACTATTCTTACTTAATTTTTATCGGTTCACCAATATCCATAGCTTCAACTTCAAATACATCGGTATGACCTTGTTCAAATGGATCTTTATGTGTTTTTGATGTTGCCAATGGAACTTTTCCTATTTGAAAAAAAAGAACAAGCTTTTTCTTCTATCGTTCATATTAAAAACTACAATCAAACCTGTATCATTCTTTTTTCCAAATATGCAAATATAAACATTTGCATTTGTTCCACTACCAAATTTATCCGATGTAACAACATTAACTTTATATGTTGTGGCTAATGCTACGATTAGAAAAAATAAAATTTCAATAAATAAAGCAAAAAAAAGGGCAGCACAGGGAGTATGTAATCATTAATCAAATAAGTGTATAAAAACGTAAAACAACAAAGAGCGCCACAAAACATAAGCAGTCAAACATGTCTAAGATTAATATATATATATAAATCCGTTTCTTTTATTATTTGAATCATTGCTGATAATAAATAAAACCAAAAAAAGGAAAACGATGTATATGTCTAATACGTATTAGTTGTATGAGCCGCGATGATTACGTGCTGGAGAAAAAAAGACATAGCAGAAGAGAAAGAGTGCCGTTAAATTTATATTCTTTCGTTAATTATTAAATAAGTTAGAAGAAAATTTACCTTTCATTTCTAGACTATGATCAGATGATGCTCCTGATACACTTTCACGTGCAGCTGCTAAACGAAGTGCTTTATTTTCAAGTGCTGGAATTTCACGAGATATCATTCCATCATCTTTATCAGTTGCCAACCATTTTTGACAAATAAAATGAGATCTTTAAAATAAAAACAAAAAAATATAATCAAAATTGATTTTTGTATTTACACAAGTTCAGTTTCCGGATCAACAATTTCAACACGATCAAGAAACCATGCTGAACCAGCCTATAGAAACAAAAAGAAATTATTAAAAGAAAAAATACTTCTAACTTTATTAATCATACCCCTGAATCATCATGTCTAATTTTGATTTTTCTTAATTTACCCAATGATATGCCTTTCACTTCAAAAACATCTTCCTAAAATGAATCAATAAAAAAAAATCATGATGAAGAAATAAAACCGACTTGTTTCTTTTCAAATTTATTCATATTTGTTTTCGATTTTTTTAATTCACGTTCACCTATGTACCACAAAAAAAAGACAATTATTTATCTCCAATTAAATTTATCACTTTACCTGAATCTTCATGTTCACCATAGATCGTCAAGAAAACATTTGCATCTGTTCCGGCACCACTTTTATCTCCAGTAAAGACATGTATCATATAAGTTACTTCTACAAAAAACAAGAACAATAAAAACTATGAAAAAACAAATGTTCTAGTTTTACCATTTCTATCGCTTAATGGTTTTCCATCTGGATCGGTTGGTAATAATTCTCTAACAGTTTGTTTATCTCCTGAACTTTTATCAAACCATTGTCGACAAACAAACCAATATTCTTCAACATTTGGATCGACTGCACTAATTTGACTCAGACGTTGTGATCGATCAGATTTAAAACCTAAATAATATAGTAGAAAAAAAAATATTTTCATAAAAATGAATTCTTACTTCGTTTTCGTTTATCAAATTGTTCACTAACATGTCGTTGAATAAGTACCTGAAGAAATATTTCAGAATAGATTTTTTTAAAAAACTAAATATTAAATCATTTCATACTTTCTCGAGATACCATGCTGAACCCATTTTTTCTGAATTATGACCAATTCGAATTTTTTGAATTTGTCCTATATCTGGAGCTTCTATTTTAAATTTATCTACCTGAAATATTAATATATACATAGTTTGTAAGATAAAATAATTATTTTTACCATTTTTCTTTCAAATGAATCTGATTTGTTTTTTAAAACCAGTTCTTCTGTTTTACCATTTAAACCATATATTTGAATAAATACTTTTGCATCTGTACCAGCACCAGATTTGTCACCAGTAAAAACAGTTATTTCATATGGAATAACTTTAAAGAAAATATTAATTATTTATTTTATACATATGAAAATAGGATATTTACCACTTGTTTTGTTTGTAACTTCAGGATTTGCTAAATCAAGCTCTATTTTACCATCACCTTCCTTCTTATCTAACCAACGATGACAAGCAAATCTATTGAATGCAATTCAGTGAGTTTATATGAAGTTTTAGATATAAATGTTACCTATAAAGTTCTCCTCGCATTGGTATATCAATTTCTACCCAATCAAGAAACCATCCGGCACCAGGATTTTTTCCATTATGTCCAATTATAATATGTTCAATCTATAAATAAATATCAAATTATTTTGATAAAAAAAGAACTTAATTAATCAACAAACTTTTCCCAAATCATCAAATTCGAATACAAAATGATCAATACGATTTCGTTCAAATTTATTTGATGTATTATTTGCTGACCTAAGTTGAATTTTATCTGAATCTCCTTTGCCGCCAAATATTTTCAAATGTACATCAGCATCAGTTCCACCTTGTAAAACATCTCCAGTTTTTATTCGAACATTATATGTTGTTTTATCTAAATGTTGTGCTGCACTGGCAAGTGTTAATTCTCGAACAATTTGCCCATCATCTTCATCAGTAGCAAGCCATCTAGAAAATATTTAATTTATATAAAAAAGAAGATCTGGTTCTACTTTTTTTTACATACCTATTGCATTCAAATGTTGCTGGTTCATATCGTTCATCTTCTGGACGAACAACAATTTTTTCTAAATACCATCCAGCACCTGGACCTATTTTGATTAATAGAAAATTAAAACATATGAATATTTCTTTATTAATTAACTAACCAGCTCCATCATGACCAACTCGAATTTTTTTTATTTGTTTTAATTGAACAGCTTCGAGAACAAAATTATCAACCTAAATAAATCAAATTTTATAATTGATATTCGATTGATTTTGTTTTTATCTTACTTGTTTTTTTTCAAATTTATTTTTATTTTTAGAATATTCCAATGGTCGTTCTATAAAAAGAAATAAACAAAGTAAAATTTGACAGTTATAGTCATTTTCTTACCTCCTGTATCGCCAATATCACCAAAAATATTAATAAAAACATTTGCATCTGTTCCAGCACCAGCTTTATTACCCGTATATACATCAACATGATATTTAACAACTGGTAAAGGTCTTTTTATTCCAGGACCTTCAGCTGGTAATTCTCGAATAATTTGTTTGTCATCTTCTTTTTTCGATAACCATCTTCCACAATTAAATATATAACGTTTCTTAGTGTTAAGATTTTCCATTTCAATCTGAGAAAAAAAAGACAATATTAAAAATTTTATCTCAATAATAAATATTATCTATTTAGATATTTACTCGATCGAGATGCCATGATGCAAATAATTTTTTATTATCATGACTAACACGTAATTTAAATGGTGTACCAACATCAGATATATCAACTTTAAATTCGTCACATTTCCCAGCTTCAAATACATCCGATTTACTTTTTAATTTAATTACATCTGATTTTCCATCATGACCATAGAGAACAAGAAGTACTTGAGCATCTGTACCAGCTCCTTTCATATCACTGGTATATACCCATACATACCATGGTACAGCTATTAAAAGAATAAATATTTTAAATGAAATAATAGATTGTATAACTTACTTGGTGGACGTTCTTCACGTAATGATAGATCTTCTTTTAATCGACGTTCAATACGTTTATCACCTTCATCATCAGCTAACCAATTATTGCAAGGAAATGTTTGTTTTATTCCTGTACTTGGACATTCAACAACAACCTAATATGTTAAATCAATAGAATGTGAAAGATATACAAATCAAATATTTATTTTAAAATAAAGTACGAATCTAATTTCAATTATGTTTGCGAAGAAGAAAAAGAAAAATTTTGTTGGATTTTAATAACAAGGTCATTTTGTTACTTTTGATCTTATCTCAAAAAATAAAAATCTTTATACAAACCTTATCAAGATACCATCCAGGTCCTGCTCCAGTATTATCATGTCCAACATCCAATGTTGTTAATGGACTAAGATCATCTGGACCATCAATTGTAAATAAATCAATAGATTTTTTTTCAAATTTTCCATCACTTAAGAATATTTGACCCGACGATGATTTGTTATTATTCATAACTATATAAACTTTTGCATCTGTACCAGCATTGCTTTTATTTCCTGTATAAACAGTTATATTATACGGAATGCCTAAAAATAAAAATAAAAAAACATTTTAGAATTTCTTCTTCTTTTTTTGCTTATATTTAATCATATTTAACAACAATTAAGGTGAACATGCATGGGCTTTGTTTACTTACCCTCATCTATAGATATGATTAGAAATAGAAATTAGTAGAAAAATAGTCTTCTTTTTTTGTTGAATTTATTTACCTCCTGTAGGTACTTTGTCCGAATCACCAGCTGCTTTTGGAAATAGATAACGAGATATTTGTCCATCATCTTCATCTGTTGCTAACCATTTATTACATGGAAATTCATATATACGATTTGCTTCGAGATCTTCAACTAATATACGATCCAAAAACCAACCTGGTGCTGAACCTTTATTATTATGTGCTATTAAGATTTTAGATAATTCACCAACAGATGGACATTCAATAGTAAATTCGTCTTTTCTATTGAAGAAAATCATTAAAAAAATTTGAATAAAATGATCTGAATACTTACTGTCCAGATTCAAAATTATTCTTTTTGTCATCAAGTACAATGGCACCTGTTTCACCAACATCACCATAAAGAGTAATAAATACATCTGCATCTGTTCCAGCTCCTCGTTTTTTGCCTGTAAATACTGTTATTTTATATTTATTATCTATAAAAATAAAATTATATGTAAAAAAAACAAAATTATATTTTCTTTTTTTCTACTTTGTCTTTTTCCAATTCCATCTTTATTCAATATAAGATCTCGTGATATTTGTCCATCACCTTCATTTTTAGCTAACCATTTATTACATGTTGCAAAATATTTTGTTTTTGGTTCATATAAATCTGTTATAACAATCTAAAAAACAAATTAATTTTTATATTAAAAATAAAAATAAATTCTATTCATATACTCGATCAAGAAACCAGCCAGGTAATCGACCAGCATTATCATGTTCAATACGAAGTTTAACTAATTCTCCAACGTAATCGCCTTTAATACGAAATTTATCTGTTTGATTACGTTCAAATGGATTTTTATTATCTGAATTATTTAAATGAAGTTTTTCTGTTCGTTTTCCTTCATCTCCAAATAATGTCACATAAACTTGACTATCTGTTCCGGCACCTCGCTTGTCACCTGTTATTACAATAATTTCATATTCTATAAAAGAAAAGAAAAAGAAAACAAAAAATATCGAACAATTTGTTAATGAAATGTCTAAATTTTACCGGTATCTTTTGGTCCTTTAGGTTTTTTCATATCAAATTCAAGTGCATGATCACTAGGATATAATTCAACTGATAATAAACCATCACCTGGTGAAAATAATGATAACCATTTATTGCATGGAAATAACCATGAACGACCTGTACGAACATTAGTTATTAAAGCATATTCACATAACCAACTTTGTTCAAATAGAACTCCTGTATGCTAAAAAAAACAAGTAATAACTGTCACTTTTTTTGATCTATATTAAAATAAAAATAGTTGTCTTACTTCAAGAATTATATGATGAATTATACCAAGATCTCGACAACGAATATAAACAATATCTGTAGCTCCTCGTTTAAATTCAATATTATATAAATCATTATCAACAGTTTTGTCAAGACCATTTAATGATAATGAAAGTTGACTTTGACCACGTAACATAGTTTCACGTGTTAAAAATTTTCGACAAACTTTATCTTTCTTTCCATATATACTTAAATATACTTTGGCATTTGTTCCAGCATCTTTAACATTAGCTGTTTTAATTGTTATACGATAAAGTGTATCTGGTCGAGTTGCACGTTTCATTGATGATTTTGGTCGTGCACCAAATTTTCGAGAATAGAAATCTTGCATATGTGGATCATCAAGTGAATTATATCTGGGAATTTTTGCTGACGTTCCTCGACCTATATCGAAAAATATTATATTATATTATTTCATGTTCAAAAAAAAAACTTACTTGGAGCATATTGTTCGGCATGAAATGGATCTTGTACTACTAAAATCGAAAGAAGAAAAAGATATATATTCAAAATATATTATCTACTAGAAATAGTTACTTTGAGGTGGTAATTGTTGTTGTTGTTGTCTCTGTTGTGGTTTTTGTTGTTGAACTGGTACATAGACTGTAGTGGATGAGACAGGTACAAGAGGTACTAATTGATAAGCAGATGTTGATCTCTGTACTGGTCGTGGTGCTGGTGGTAGTGAATGGCAATGATGATGATGATGATGGCTATGATTTGGATGTGCGACTACAACTGAATGGGGTCCATAACCAACAACATGTTGAAGGCCAGACGAACTTGTATATACATCCATTAATAGATAATGAATGAAATTTTTGATGGATCAATGACAACTTTAAATTAATCTGAGTTAAATGAATTTATAAGTATATTTAAAAAGTTTATAGGTTGCCACTCAATAAAACTTTCGTAGCGAACGTGTAATATGCATAGACAAATGTAAAAAGAAGCGTACAGAAAACAAAAGAAAAGAAGAGAAAGAACAAAAAAAAACAAAAAGTAATAGTTGTCAATGAGCTACCATTGTCAGCATTTGAAGCGATGGAAATACCTTTCAATCTTCTCTGTTGTCAACAATTCCCCGTCGAAAGATGGCATTACTAGTCTGCCACAAAAAAAAAGAATCAAAATAATTTTGTTCACAAAAAGAAACGATTTTGATATATATTTAAAATTTCTTTTATCTAAAACTGAATATGTACTCCGCGTACAAATATTTCTTTTCATTGAACATCACGTTATTAATTTGATATGACATGAAATATTCTCTATATTATATTTCAAGTATTATGCTACATTTTTGCTCATAATGAGTAATGAATTATTTATAGTAGACCATTAAAAAAGTTCGTTTTCATTTCATGAACTTTTATGTTAAAGTTAAGTTAAGATTTTTAGTCCTATGAGAAATAATAATAACAACAAAAAGTGCAATCTAATTATAAGTAACTACTTGAACGATCAGTTAAAATATATGTATATGCAAGTTCTATACAAATATTTGATTTTCGTTTATTGATGTTTCAACGCTTTTGCTAGTCACATTTTTTTTTGTATCGAAAAAAAATAATAGCTATTGAATGCAAATTGTAATGACCTTTAAAATAATATCAAGCAAACTGAACTACATAAATTTTATTCATTTCAAATAAAACATTATAAGGAACTTGTATTCAATTAGACTTTCTTTCTCTTCGTCTGGTTGAATCAACAATGAGAGAAAAAAATAATAGTATTGCCTCAGTGTGCAATCATTACAATGTCGATTTCATCGTTGTCGTAAAGAGAACTTTTTTTTTTGAGTGTCTTTCACAGTAACTTTACATTTTAGTTTGTGTTTCTCTCTCTCTCATTCAATTTTTTTTTGACGTCGTTGTCGTGTGTCGTTGTTAACAACACAAGTACGAAAGAGACATATATTATTTTGTACGAATTATTAATAAGTGGTATACGGTTAATTGTATATGTGCGCATATATCTTTGAGCAAAAAACGATAATTATTTAATATGAATCAAGTTCAAGTCAGACAAGTACCATTAACTACATCATCTGATAAACAGAGAATTGTTGGTACTTGGGTAAGACATAGTATTAATAAAACAATTAAATCTTTATTATCAGTATTCATATTGAATTCTTTATAGTTTCCAACGAGTTATTATGGAAATTTTCGAGCTAAATCACGTGCTGATTTAGCTGATTATTTTCGTCAATTAGCTCAACCTGCTCCACCAAAAAAATTTATCGATCGACAAACAGTACGACTATATTCTTTTCTTTCTCTATACTATTGTTGATTTTTAGGCTGAAGCTAATACTCATATATTTTCTCAACATGATAATCGCTTTAAATTTGAATGTGATCCACTTGTTCGTAATACTCAATCAGTAAAAAAACAATTTATTTTTGTTTAATCTATCATTTTTAAGTATTGTTTTATCTAAAGGGATTTGGTAAACGAAAAGCACAAAGTAATGCACGTGGTGAATTTAATCCACAATTAATTAGTTGGATGCCAAAAACTAGTGATCGTAAAACGCCTGTTGATGATGTTAAAACTACATCCTATGATGATGATTATAATCGTGAATCAACTCCATCACGTATTTTATCAGAATTTCAATCAAATGAAAATGATAAGGAACAAAATGCAAGACCATCGTCACCTACTAGTGTTTATTCATTTAGTTATCAACATGGTCAACCTAATTATGAACGATCGAAACAAATTCGTCAAGAAACCTATCAAAGATTTTTATCAACACATGCTCAATTATCAAAACAAAAGAGTAATGGACGTAGTGGAAGTGTTGCCTCATGTATGGTATGGAATAATATTACAAATAATGATAATAAACCTTCTATACCAAAAGAAAATATAATTGATACTGTAGTACCTATTAAATTAGAACGTCATTCTCTCATAGATAATAATAATAATAATAATATAACATCTCGTCAGCGTGTGCAAAGTGCTGGACCTCGTGTAATATTCCAAACACCCAGTGAATTATTACAAAAACCAGTTCAAAGTCAACCAATGCAAATATTTAAAGCAACAATAATCTCGAAAGAACGACCACATACAGTAACTACAACATCACGTGAACATTATAAAGGAGCTAGTTTTGGGCCGAAAATAACAATTCCAAGACCAGCTACTCCATATGAACAAACTTATACGAATCGTATGCAAAATCTTATTTCAAAATATATGTAAAAAAAAATGTTATTTTTAAATAAAAAAAAATCTAAATAAGATAAGTTTTCTTTTTTTTTCATATGTAAATTTTTCCTGTTAGGTCTTCATAAGAACAATTTTAGTAATCATATTTGTTTATGTATTGTTCGAGCTGGAGGCTGACAAACAAATTTTATGCTTATTTACCTATATGTATGCATTTTGAAAAAAATTATAAAACAACACGTTTTTTCGTGTTATAACCATTTAGTAATCGTTTTGTACTTGATTCCTTTAGTACTTATTCTTTGGAGATTTTCATGAATATACTAGTTTTATGATTTTGGAATCTTGTTTTTGAAGTAGTGTAGAGATGGCAATGAATATAATAATTTTACGTTATTTTTCAACTTGATTGACTTTAACAAGTGATTGTTTGAATTTTTAATAGCAAACTATCGAATAGTATATAAAAAATGTCTTTATTGATGAATTACGTAAACAAAAAGTATTCATCTTATAATTTTCATTTCAAGTGTCTCAAAAACTAACGACTGAATATTATTAGTGTTATCACTAAACTATTCAAAGATCTATTTTCTCTTTAATAACTGATAATATAAGTATCACTATCGAGAAGCAAATAGCGGCTGCCAAAAATTCACATAACCTCACGAAAGTCGTCAGTATCTTCTCATACCGCTCTATTTTACTTCTATGCTACTAAGGTATAGGGTGAGGTGTGGGTGTCGGTGTGTATAATAGGTAAATATAATACGTACATCTACACCCATACCCTCGATGTATAAAAGTTACCATTCGGTTTCGTTTTTGTCAAAGTCATACTTCGTATATGATGATGAGCTATGATACTACAAAATGAATAAGTGAAAGAATGTTGTACGCTTACAGCCATACCATGTTGAATACACCAGTTCTCGTCCGATCACTGAAGTTAA